TTAGTGCATGGTGAGAGATATAGGTCTAGTTTTAATCTTTGGCAAGTTGAAACCCAATTTTTCCAGCACCATTTATTAAAGAAGCTATCTTTCCTAGTGAGGGTGTTTAGCTCCTTTGTAAAAGATGAGGTGGCTGAGTGTGTCTGGAGTTGTTTCTGCATCTTATAATCTGGTCCACTGATGCTCCGGTCTGTTTTTTGGGTTTTTTTTTTTTTGCCAGTACCATGCTGTTTTTATCACAGTAGCTTTGTAGTATAGTTTCAAGTTGGGAATTGTGATACCCCATACCTTGTCTTTGTGACCTAGTATTGCTTTGGTTATTCTAGGTCGCTTCTTGTTCCAAATGAATTTTTGGATTATTTTCTCCTGGTCTGTGAAGTATGATGCTAGGATTTCAATTAGGATTTCATTGAATCTATACAGTAGTTCTGAAAGTATGGCCGTTTTCACTATGTTCTTCCTATCCAAGAGCAAGGGATGTCTTTCCATTTTCTGATATCCTCTTCAATTTCGTTTTTCAGAGTGCTATAGTTTTCAGAGTAGAGGTCTTTGATTTCTTTTGTTAGGTTGATTCCTAGGCATTTCAGTCTTTTGGATGCTATTGTGAAAGGAATTGTTTGCCCTATTTCTCTCTCAGTGAGTCTGTTGTTAGTGTACAGGAAAGATATTCATTTTTGTGTGTTGACCTTGTATCCTGCTACTTGACTCAATTTGGTTAAGTCTAGAAGACTTCTGCTGGAGTTCTTAGGGTCTTCTAAATGGAGTGTCATTGCATCTGCAAATAATGACAACTTGACTTCTTCATTTCCTCTCTTTATTCCTTTTATTTCTTTCTCTTGTGTAATTGCTGTGGCTAATGTTTCCAAAACTATATTGAACAAGAGTGGTGATAGTGAACATCCTTGTCTTGTTCCTGATTTCGGAGTGAGGATTTCAGTTTTTGACCATTTAGTATGATGGTGGCTGTTGGTTTTTCATAAATGGCTTTTATCAGATTGAGGTAGAGTCCTTCTATTCCAATTTTTTGTAGGGTTTTTATCACAAATATATGTTGGATTTTATGAAATGCTTTTTCTGCATCTATTGAAATGATCATACGTTTTTTGTCCTTGGTTCTATTAATATAGTGTATTACATTTATTGATTTGCATATGTTGAAACATCCCTGCATCCCTGGGATAATCTTCTTGATAATCTTCTGCATTCTATTTGCCAGTATCTTATTAAGGATTTTTGCATCTATATTCATTAGGGAGATTGGCCTATAGTTCTCTTTTTCAGTTGGGTCTTTCTCTGCTTTGGGGATCAAGGTAATGCTTATTTCCAGGAATAAATTTGGGAGTATTACTTCCCTTTCAATTTCATTGAAGAGTTTAAACAGTAGTGGCAGTAGTTCCTCTCTAAATGTCTTGTAGAATTCATCAGTGAAGCCATCGGGACCCGGGCTTCTCTTAGTTAGTAAATTTTAATTACGTTTTCAACTTCATTGATTGATATTGGGTCCTTTAGAGTTTTTAGGTCATCTTCATTCAACTTTGGTAATTCACACATATCTAGGAATCTGTCCATTTGATCTGTGTTTTCCATCTTTCAGTGTATAGGTTCTCGAAGTAGATATTGATAATCCTCTGGATTTCTGCTGGGTCCATTGTAATTTCATTCTTCTCATTCCTAATTGCATGGATTTGGGCCCTTTCATTCCTTTTTCTGATAAGGTTGGCTAAGAGTTTG